GATATCTCAGAAATTAGAGCCATTTGAGAGATTCAGACCATGGTTTCGAATTCAGATTATCAAAAACTATATTCTGGTTCCTGATGTGTAAGACAGCTGGCCCATTTGTCAGCCTGTCTTATTAGCGAAATCTGGCGACACCGTAAATATTTTTACTTCAAAATTTAATCATGACTTCCTATTGGTTATATCTAACTGTTTACAGAATTTTCTTCAAATTTAATAAAATCATTTTTACTTTACTTACTTACTATTTTCTTTGTCACGGAGTATATAATGTACAGTCATTTTTGCCTAGTATTGTACACTCTCACGCGATCAGCCCAACTATTCGCAGACAAGCATGCATTCTATGCACCTGAAGTAGATGAAAGCACTTTCGCTGATGGTTTTCCATCTCCCTTAAATCAGAGTGCAAGTTATATAATTCCCCAAGAACTGCCTTGCTGAACTAATATCTTTTTCAGTTACTCGCAAATTAAGTAGTGAACACGCTTATCTCTCTCTATGTGCCTATAAGGTAGGTACCTCTATTTCTGAATCATTTTCTTTGATAAGTGATAGATTGTTCTTCACAAGCACACGAAAAAAAATACTTACTAATATTTCTTTTAATGTCTTGTGACGTTCTCTATTGAAATCTCCACCGGTATACTTAGTTGTTCGTCTATCGGTTAAGCTTTTTGTCAGCGCGTAATCTCAGTAACTACTTCATCAATCAGTAGCGGAGGACCAAAGGACAAAAATCAGAACGTCCCCAATACAGTTTTTGAAGCAATTATTCGAAACAGTGTTTTTAGCGTCTTCATGTTTCCGGTAAAAAAAATATAAAACTTCATCTTGTGATGTGTCTATACCAATTTAATTCTAACGAAAAATATTTTTGTCGATCATTTAGGGATGGTTTTGATGCGATTAACACTTTCAAGAAGGTGAGGGTTTCTGTGTATTTGTAATTGTAAGATAGAATAAGATTTTTGCTTGAGGATTACAAGGTCAATCTATTTGACACTATTATTTACTATAGGTAGTAAGGAACACACCCAAAAAAATGCTCAGAATATTAACATAATCTATGTCTCTAGAGTCCATCTCATTGGTTACTGTCAATCTTAGGGGTCTACTGCTTATTAACAGAAAACAAAAAAATTAGTCGTGTAATCTTTTTCCGTTTGTGGTACATAAAAATGTCTCAGTTCAAAGTTATTATGCCCGTCAAAAAATATATTGACCATCCCACTCTGGATTCATTAGAAAGGCATAGAACGTCGAACTAAGTTTGGGCTTAAGTCACGGCCATTCTTCTTTCAAAACTTACTAACTAGCAAATCATCGACATCGGCGTTTGAAAATGTTCTGAGGTATTGAGTTGTCTGCTCGTAACTGAATCAATTTTTGAAACCTATCAAGCTCTTGTCTTTGGCGTCGTAATAACTTTAGTTACTTTCCGAGTAAAGGGATATGTCTATTTACCAGACAGACAGCCGTCATACAGACCGATACAAATGAGTGAATGAACTTTCATGGTTAGAATTAGGATTTCCATACCTAAGAAAAATGGTAAAAGATCGTACCTGCGTAACAATACTTTTAAAATATACAACCTTTATCAAAAAGGTCTCCCCAACTATTGCTTGAACGTGTCAAGTTAACAAACTTAAATTTAGGGTGATGAAATTGATGCTTGTATGTGTATGTGTATGTATACATACGTATGAGCGTAAAAGGAGTAGTTGAACATTTAAGGATGACGAATGGGTGCCATCTAGAAACAGTTTTTTAAATGGAATGGGCTGTTATGTGATACCTGATTTTGAAGCTTCTTGTACTCTATAATCTTAGCGTATAAATGTATATATTTTGAGTGGCGGGCTGTCAAAGTTGAGCGTTTTTGTATGTAGTATATGCTATTGTATCAATATCCTTATTTTGAAGGGGTCTATATGAATATGAAATAAAATATGGAGCATTCAGCTTCAAAAAAATTGACACATTTTGTCAATATTTTTAATATGTACTGTTCATCATTTTATTGCACATTCAGATGGATACTTCTAGGAGAAGAAGATCAACAGGACATACTGTAGCGTTTGGTGGTTGATTGTAGAGGTATAAATCTATAATCACGTTGAATTTTGAAAGCATATCAGTCCGCTATTTTGAAAGGTAGTGATTGTATATTCTAGGTTTATAAAATTCTTCCTAGATTTTTCAATATCAGGGGTCAAGTAACCCCCCATTCCAAAAAATATTACACTATGGCGTAAGCCACCATCTTGAAATTTTCAAGTGCCACTTTTACGCTAAAATATACTTTGGGAATGTTCTAGAAAGGTTTAATATCAGTGTATAGGCAGACATACCAATGGAAATGAGTAACATATTTTTTCATTATGTGCATTAATTTGTTGTAACATTAAAAAAACAATACAAATATCACTTTTGTGGATTTTTTCGCGATTGCAATATCTCCTCACCTATTGGCGTGGGAAGTAATAACAATATGTTTATCGTATCGAGTTTCGAATCTCTTTAGAGATAATTATCTTCTTCATACTTCATTGTCGACTGACTTCTTGAAAAAACTCTTCTAATAACCTTTTTCATCCTCCCAAATTTAAGCTTGCTAATTGCACCCGTTCAAACAATAAGTGGAGGAGGGACCTTTTTGAAAAGCATTGTATGGCTATTGAACGCGATTATCAATATGGAAAACAATATGTAATTATGTACGTCACTTATGTAATATATTTAAAAAATGCATTAGTCACTGATACGTACGATTGATTTTCGGTACATTACATATGCGGTATACCACTTTTGAATAATATATTTTTTAGCCGAAAACCGCTTTTTTCCATCCAACAAACAAGCCATGCATAACTTTCGTTATGCTATTTTACTTCATTGAAAAAAGTAATCAGTAACCAGTATCTAGATTCCTGAATGCTAGATTGAGGAGATCGTATCTCCAAATTGGCAGTTGAAATACTAATATCTGCAAGTACTGTGCATGATCATCAATCTGTTGAACAAAATTGCACGTTACCTTTGATTCCTATTCATTTGGCTTACGTAATATACAAACCAGACGATAAACAACAAACTGTGTTGGGCGTTGGTCTTTTCACAGGGTGATCACATGTAAATGCATAAGTAAAAATGGGGACAAGTACAATGACTCTGTACCACCAACTTTCAAATTTCCAAAAAAGAATACCTACCCTGAAATACCTTCGAGCTACCAGTTAGTACTAGTGTACATAATTTTGTCAGACGTCCAACTATGCAGTATTTCTGATGCTACTATTTTTGATACTGATACTTACTATTTTTTTGTTTTTATGCTCAACGAAGGCCTAAGTGATACCGTGGGGCTGTAGGGGGATACAGGTGAAAGGGGGGACGCCAGCGAGGAAACACGTGTGCATGCAGAATGCACCCCTTCAGGCCCCGCCTACGAGATCCGCCGGGTGGTACCTCCGCGTTCGACAGTCAGAGACCGTCTACCACCTACGAACTTTATGTACACTTTATATCGTCAAAAATTCAGAATTATAGTTAGAACAGTCTTTATTTAATTTAATAAAATGGTTCAATTGGTCACTTTACTTAAAAAATTGACTATTGCAAATATAACATTGGAATTGGTTCATGGAATCGTATATTTCATAAGTAGCTCTGTAAATATGTAGCTGTTTTTAAATCCTTATTTCCACTGATGCCGTTCTACTTCACACACCTACAGGCGGCGAAGTTTTGTAATAGCGCTAAAATGAGATATTAAGTTTTTTTGATGCTATATAACATGTAGTTATCGAAAAATGGTGTCACTCGTTTCCGTCAGTCTGTCTGTCTATCTACCTATAACTTGGAAAGAACCGATCAGATTTGGATAAAATTCACAAGGTTATTAGTATTCCACGAACGAAAAAGCTTTGTAGTTTTTGAAAATCGGTTTAGTAGCGGTGGCGAAAACGGCTAAAAACAAAAATAAGATTAGAAGTTCCCTATCAATTTCGGAAAAATAATTTTTGTAGGAGTTAAAAGTTGGGGGTAAGGGGTTGCAGGCGGTGGAGGAGGGTATATCTCAATTACTTGAAGTTGGTATATCTATACGCCCTCAGTCCCAATAATTCCAGGCACGTGTTAAACATGTGTAAAACTTATCTCCAACAGTCGCGTGTCGATACGTGCGCCATAGCCTGGTTCATGTTTGTGCTACTGTGAGCTGTATGCTGTAATAGTCAATATCGTCATCCACGTAAGATTATTACGTAGCATTGATCATGTGCGTCCGCAGGAATTTCTTTCAGGGGAGGAGGAGATTCATTTAATTTTTTGTTATACATGTTGGTAGCAAGCTTTCTCCTCAGAAGGACTAACTTGTCCCGAACATAATCCTTTACGAACTGATGACAGCCGCGGAAAGTACAGAGTCAAATTACTTGACGCCATCTTTTTTATTGTAAATATCTTCAACAAAGACGTGACAGAAAAAAATAGTATTTCAGTAATTTCCTTGCATTTAAAGCTCTTCTTGGTGCCGCTACCTACCCAAATATAATCTGAATGCAATATAACTTATTTGAATTGAGTACTTATAGATAATCATCAAACTGCCATCACATTTTACCTATTTTTGATACGTTTCAATGTAATATTGCGTGAGAACCGAGATCACACCTTAAGAGAAACAGCAAAAAAAGTGTCTTTCGGTGGGACCATAGGAGTAACACTTGCAGGAGTAGATGAATAGTAAAAACGAGTACACTGTGCGGATGTAGGCGAAACATCTGTCGATCTCCACTTACCAATGATTTGCCAAGTTGATCTCCATCATCATTCCGCAAATGTTGTCGTCCCATAACTGCTTGCATAATGCACTGGTAGAGAACCACCAAAACGGTAGACCCATCTATCAGCTGGAATACCAAGTATTCACAGAACAGAATAACAATGGGTTTTTATGCGTATATGCATAAATAAACACGATTGAAGAGGACACCCGAGTGGATATGTTTGCACTGTTTCATTTATTAGCAACTCATCAGTGCGGTATAGGTCTATTAGTCCTGAAGACACTGATGAGGCACGAAACAGCGCTGTCTGGGGTTGGTCGTGGCTACAGAGGCGGAAGACAAAAAGCATACATGTCCATTTCAATCGTGTCTATTAGTGATGCATATATGCACTAATAGCTGCTAGATGGGTCTACCGTTTTGGAGGTGCGACATCTATGTGCATTGCGCAACCAGTTATGGGGCGATAACATCATACGGAATGATGATGGCGATCAAGTTGGCAAACCATTGGTAAGTGGAAATCGAGGTTTTTCACCTACCTCCACACATTATTTTGAGTTTTTCAAACAATCATACCCACACTTGTTTGCTTTCCGTTCATCTCTGTCCAGGACTTTTATCTTCTACACCTATACCGCACTGATGAACAGGAAACGTGTTACAACGATTTCAGTGTTTCAGATACTTGACAATCTAAGCAATCAATCGAAAAACGACATGAATATGTCCAAGTTGCGGAGTCCGATAATTGAGTATTTAGTAATTACGTAGTGTTTTGACTGAAACTGCAAGGTCACCGTACCGTCCGATTGGGTCGCAGAAGAAAAGTTTCAGAAATCTATCTCAATATTGTACCTAAAAACACATCATGACTGTATTCATCCTATATACCTATGTAGAATATATCAAATCATAAAGTTAAAAAGAGCGGCATTATAGGAAGAGAAAATGAAACCAGTTCTGCTTGCGAGCAGCATTTGAGAAAAAATTGATTCTCACTTTCCACATGTTGCTGCTTCGGATATATCGAAATTCTATATTACTTTGCGATAATAGCGCCGTAGTAAATTAATAGTGTAATGATATCATTATTTCTATACACTTTCCGACAAAAGCCATTCGACATCCTGGAAATTGTATTCCTTAGATTTTCAAAAAGCATCTTGAATTTTATACCAGCATATCATCACACAACTTACACTACACAAATAATTTGGAAATGACTCGAAATATTACTGAGATGAATTATCTACCACCACTACTTTTTAGGACAAAATTAAGGAGGTCCTGTACCATCCGATGTCTTCTTTGAACATCTGAATATGGTCATTTATTTAGGCCCGTATCGTCAGTCGTCCCTACAATTGTAGGGCGCCTTTATGGCCTCCTTGATTGTCATAGTTTTCTACTTCTCCGTGTCAACGCTCTATTTTGAGGTTATGTCACAAACATCTATTTGCATCAAATTGTGCTTGCTTTTGAGTTATATCATGTTTTATTAGCCTGAAATTTCCTACAATTTAAAAAGAAAACATATCTTCACAATAAGAGAGCGCTGACGCTGACACGGGCCGGGTGCAATCTAGAAATTTTGAAGGAGAGAAAGGAGTATGACAATCAAGGAGGCCATAAACGCGCCCTACAATTGTAGGACGACTGACGATACGGGCCTTAGGTATTGGAATACGTTAATCAATGATATGGATCATAATAAAGAGAGAACCCATGTAATAGAAATCTTTCATTATTGTTATTTTCACGTACACTGTATATTGAACACTACAAAATACAATACAAAATACTGATGATGTTCTGGGCGAATTGGACAATTTTTAGGTGAACTATTAGTTCATCATGATATCGCGGCTATAGCTTTCTTTAAGGGGGAATGGAAATATTGTGACAGCGTTTGTTATTTACTCATCGATAAAATTGCATAGCTGTAGGTAATTCGCATTTTTCGTTTGGGAATCGACGATGCTTTGAAACTGAATGGTACAAGCTTATTATTCATCAACTTTCGTTCAGTATTTTTGAGTAACATACGAAAGTACGTACAGGGTGCGTCAGAGAGGACGGACGTTTTTGGGATGTGTAGTACTCTCCGCCTCCGTCTACGCTCTCGTTCGGTGGGGAGGGTGCCGTTTGACTCGTGAGATCCTAGCATTATTTTACCAGTTGTCGTTATGGAGCCTTGGACGGTGGAGCACCGCGTTTTCGCCTATGATTGTTTCGTCCGAAATAATGAGTCAGTCATCGTCGTACAGCGTGAGTTTCGTCGCCACTTCAACATTCATCGGAATAGAGCTGTTCCCTCTCGAAACACCGTTCTTCGTTGGGTTGAATCACTTCGCAGGCATGGTGAACTGATCAACAGAAGACCAAGAGGAGCGCCGCGAACATTTCAAACTTCTGAAAATGTTGAACGCGTTCGACAGGTCTTTCTTCGCAGTCCGACTCGATCTGCCCGGAAACATGCTGCTGCACTTCGCCTTACTGATCGTTCGGTGAGGCGAATTTTGCATATGGATCTCCGCTTTCACCCCTACTAATTGGCCATTGTGCAACAACGAATGAACTTCGCTCGTGAGATGGAAGCACTGATCGATCAAAATGAGAACCTCATTTTGTTTATGAGTGGGGACACCTCAAGGCTAGAGTATACGCGAACGAGCCCCGAACTCTGGACGAATTGAAGGGCGAAATTCGCGTGGAAGTCGTCCAAGTTGAGAGAGCGATGTTGAAGAGAGTCTACGCGAACTTCCAAGAACGCCTCCAGCACTGATCAACGATTTTGGCCACCACATGCCTGATGTGATTTTCCACACTTGACTGTCTCAAATGCTATTTCCTTGTGAACCTGATTCCATCAATAAATTTGTTTTCGTGTAAAAATTAACTATTTTATGATTTTTTTAAAACAAAGATTTTTCAATACATCCAAAAACATCAATAGAAGTTGTATTTTATTAAACTCCACAATAAAAATATAAAGCGAATATAGAAAAGCACAAAAGAGCAAGTTGTCGGTTTTTAGAAGCAAAATGGCTCTGCTTTCAATATTTTGTGACTCCGGTCACTCCGAAATTCTGAACTAAAGCTGATGAAAATTTAACTGAAATGTTATGTTCTTTTCTCGAAACATTGTCAGATTGGTATTTAAAAGGTAAAGTATTTTTAAGTTATGTTGACCATTCACGATTTCGAAAATATTATACTTATGAAAGTCCTCCGTGTTTTTTTTGTCTATTCTTGGTCGAGCTAAGTACATTCTGTACGTATGCTCCTTTTTACTGCCTATGCCAAGACTAGCGAGAAAGTATTGTAATTGCGAAAACATTTAATTGAGGTATTATGTGATTATTTGGATGTTATATGACGAAAAACCGTGTCACTCATTTCCGTCGGACTGGCTATTTGTCGGTCTGTCTGTCTGACGATATGTCTATCTGTCGCCTTTAAGAGAAGTATCACTCGGATTTTGCTGAAATTTTCACACAAGATTACTGCTATGTCAAGCATGGAAAAGTTTTTCAAAATTGGTCTAGTAGCGGCGGAGATAGGGGCCAGAACACGGAGCAAATTAAAATCGCTTAAGCTTCGTTTTTTGACGCACAAAGGCTCATGATCATTTTCGTAATTTTTTTGCATTGATTGAAACTTGGGGGTTAGAGGTTGTAGGGGTAGAGGGTCGTAAATATAACGTCTTCAGAGTTAGTTAAAGACGTTCTATCATTAAGAAGCTGCTGACCCCGGCAACAACGGGAAAATTAAATGCTAAATGTCCGATGTATGATGTGCTCATAATTCTAACTAACTAGACAATCGTTAGCGGTGCGTGCAGCATGGTCGCGTAGGCCACTGCCGACTGTGAAGTGGGTAACAAACTCCAACTGCTCCGTGGTGATGTCGTCAGTGATACACCGCTAGAGAAGAAGTATTTATATGTTTTCGCAATATTTGCATATTATGAGTACGTACGACTTTAGCGGTCTGCGATGCTTTTGTAAATGATAACAGTTTTTATATCTACACATAGATGTTTTTCTAAATTTGATGATGCTTAAATTACCCATTTGTGTTAGGCCGAGATTGACTCAGTAGTTATGACGCATTGATACACAATATACACGGATTGAGAAACCGAGATCCATGAGAAACACGGACTTGGGTGATGCAGATATCTTTAAACAAGAGAAAACTTGTAAGCCTAAGTTTGAATATTATTGCAAGTTTGCTTGAATGAGAGGCGGTGGCAATAAAATCGCTGTTACGTTTCAGAAATTCCTGCTCATTTTCAAACATTGTTTGGAGAGGATGAAAATTATAGGTTAGAAGCTGTAGGTATGCGATAAATAGTTGTAAATTGTTGCATATTAGGTGTCAATAAAGTACCTTCTATTATTAAGAAGCTGCTGATCTCAGTGATACCTGTAAGACATAATTAGTCACACATATTTTCCGTACATCTCTTTTCTTTGAAACTACCAACGAAGGCGTAGGAAGTATAGAATCAATCTACTTGACGCCTTTTTTTCGTACGATATCGAGAGTGCATGATCAATTTGTATTAAAGTGGACTTGTATAATAATGATATAATTTCTTGACTTCATTTTCTGCGTCGGTACTTTTGTCGGATAGTGTAAAATATTATCGAATGGATCTACTTTTGATATATGATATCACCAGGAGGTAGGATATGCAAAAAATTTAATTAGCTGCTACTAGGCGTACGCCGAATATCTGATCATTACTCTGTTATGTAATCGAGATTCGAGATGCAGTAGAATACTTATCACGATAATCAGTCTCGCGTTATTAAATTCTTTGATTTCGTTTCTAAGAGTATGCCAGACCAGTTATTAGACCAGGACCAGGAGATCTAGAATTTCTGAAAAAATTATAGTTAGAATAGAAAATATAGCCGGATTTAAAAATGGAATTGTATTCTTGAGAGTAACTGGAAAGGCCCACAGACTGGCTTATCATGAAAGAATGGTATATCAATATTTAAGGGGTCGATTTCTTGGTCCATTTTAAGAAGAAAACTTCATATGAATATAATTTCCTAACTTTTGAGGATGGTGGGTGATAAGTATTCAAAAATAAATCACTATATTATTAAAGTATGTTATACCACTTTAGATATTTTAATGAAATTTGACATAGATGCCAAAAGGCACTTTTTAATGAATTATATTTTTTTTAATTTCCACCAATGGCCTTCGAACGGAATTTCATCTGCCTATTTTGCCTAGTGTTGAGATCCCCAAACATTTCTACGCAAATTTGATAACTTGATTTTTTCAATTTGATGCACAATTAATACTTAGAAAAGTAAAAACTGATTATCTTCTTGATCATAAGAATATCTTGATGTGACTTTATTACCATGTAATTGGACATTGCAGCAAATATAAAGTTTTTAGATCCCCTATAACTCTTCCGTAGACAACTTACCAATATTTTAATTTTGGATATACGCGAAAAAGTGATCCACAAAGTGTCTTTTCAACTTTGACATTTGATACAAAAGTTACATACATACATACATTGTATCGGACATTTCCATTTACCCTCAAGGATATAAAATACGTCTATTAAATGTTTACTGTGATACAATTTCCTTTTTTGTCTAGTCGTCTTGATCTATTATCATCAGAATATCTACTCAATATCTCGTTATTAAATTCTTTAGTTCTTTTCTGCATAAATACCAGAACAGTTATTGATGGAGAGGAAACAACGTATCGATTAGATAGGTGCATATCTATAACAGCGGGTCAACGACTCTATCTGCATTTCCTCATAGGAAAATAGTAATTGTCTAACAGATAAATGCTTTTAAAGTTATTCCCCACGAGTATAATGTGCAATGCATGAACACGGAACTAAATTCAGTATTCAGATGAAGGAAATGGGCACGCCTTTTTTCATGGTTCTCTAGTAGGTTTACATGTTATACGTTAAATAACACAGCTTTGTGGATGATAGCACTTTACATGATGCAAGCATTCAGAGTGCCAAAGCGCTTCTCTAGCGAAAGACCTGGACATTATCGATGCATCGCGAAGCAGTAAAATAGTAATTTGTTCCAAAATACTCGTATAATGAGGGATGTACCAACCACCGTATCAGCCGTATCAATGATACGGGGCCCCCAGCTTACAGGGGATCCGACGTGTGCAAGAAAAAATGTGTATTTATTCACAATATCACTCAAGTTTTTAGACTATTCACCAAACTATAAATTCTGAAGCGCTACATCCTGATAGATCGTATGGCTACGTGATAGTAGCGTGCTCCCTATTTTTGACCCTCTACATCACAACTGCAACAGTAGCAGTAGCAGAGTTTTGTCATATCAAATTCTGTTCTATGGATTTATCAAATAATTTTGTTAACAATTTGTGTACCATCGATGTGTTGGAAAGATTAAATCTAAGGAAAACAGTTTTTTTATTGTTTAAATTGTTACTGAACCACTGACCTGCACCAGTTGGTGCTTGAATTGAACCCTGTGGAATACCAGTATGGTAGAAATGTTGGCCGGACTGTGCATTCTGTACCTCAATATGATATGCAGACAGTTAAGGAAGCAGTCAAACGGTTTTCCTCTCATTCCATAACCATCCATTTTATCTAGAAGTATAGCACAGTCAACCAAGTCAAAAGCTTTGCTCAAATCAAGAAATATACCGATACATTTTTATATTTAACCATCTTAAAATACAAATCATCATCATCAGTTTTGGTGGACATGCCTATTCTGAATACAAATTGACTAGTATTAAATAATTTGCCAAAGAAGCTGATGAGTTGTAGAGACATATTTCTCAGACACCTTCGAGATCGGTCTAAAATAACATAACGAACTCACAAAATTCACAATTCAAAAGTGTGTATGCTCAAAATAAAACCATTATTTGGGCGTAGAGAATTAACTAATGCATATTTCCAACATGCATCTTAATTCAAGGAGCTGGTGTAACATATTGGCAATGCTGCAAATTGTCACGCTTCCAAATTATACATACACATACATGCTGCTTGAGGATCATTATTTCCATATGTAAGTTAAAAATAAGCCTTACTAAAGATCAATATTTTCCAACTTGAAGTAATCGGAAAATACGTAAGCAAATATCAGAAAATTATAACTTCTCAAAGAAAATTGTTCACACCAAAAAATTATAAAGCTTACAGAAACAAACGACGGAAACGATCTGAAGCTGTTGTTTTTTGATATGCCCTTCTAAAACATTTGAGGTGAAGTAACCAGGGAAGAAATATTACGTGCTCATGCTGCTTCCCAAGAGTCTAGTTCGATGCACTTGTTTCCGCCAAGTCACAGACAGATCGACGAAAATGCAAAATGGAATTACGTATTTGAAATCCTAAAATGTTCGCGGAGATAGTACCGTAAAAGCCCCTATCTTCGGACAAAATTTGGAATATTTTCTCAATATTGAATGTTCTAATGTGAATATTACTATTATGGCTATAGAAACATTACCAGTGCTATGGAATCAGTCAAAGTATATAACCTACCTATAAATATGTCAGTGAGGTATGAATAAAAAAAAATAAAAATCGTCGAAGTTAGGATATATTTTCCCTAATTTCGGACATGGACGTTTCACTGCGAAATTGAATAAAAAACTCGATTTGGACACGTAGGAAACACTGTGCCCAATCTCAAAAAATATATTAATTGTCCTTTCGTCGCAGACAACTTCTGTAGCTTGGACTCATCAGAATTGAGAATTTTGGCGATGAACTTCTTCTCTAATTGGTGTTTTGAATGTTTGTTATACATAAAAGTGCAAACTACAAATTTACCGTTTTCAATAATAATGTTAGCGTGAATAATAGCATCGCCATTTTTTTGATAAAGGAACGTCATCATCTTCTTCATCGCGTACTAAATTCAAGTCGTTTTCCAGATGGTTGTCACTTTCTTTCAAATCGAGTACATCTTCGTTCACATTTTCTTGATGTGTACTTCCATCCTTATTTACTTCTTCGTCCTTATTTTCCATGGCAGTTATAACCTTGCCAGCTGGAACGTTCAGCTTCTTTCTTTTAAACCGTTTAGGTGCGGTATCGGTAAGTCTGGCATTTTTTAGATGTTCAGTAAAGGTTTCACACCATTTTGAAGAATTTTCTGCGATCTGATGTTCAGAAGTTGTGGGTAGTCGCTTAAGAACTTGACTAGAGTCTAAAGGAAATATACCACATGCACGGAAATCAGATTTAATATTTTTTCCAGAAGAGTATTTCTCCAAGCTCTTTTTAGCTGACGAAAGTATGAAACGTCCAGTGGTTGGCACAGGTGGGTCGAGTTCGCTGGAAGCAGTACAAACTTGATATTATCTCCTTTGCATTTTGTTATGACGTCCAGAGATATGTGGGAAGCTAGATTATCACCTATTATTATTTTAATTCCATCCTTTTTTCTGAAGTAGGGTAGCGGAACCTTGTCAAACCAGTCACTGAATATAAAAGAATCGAACCAACCACTTGCGCTTCTATTATATAAAGTTCCTGGCGGTACATTTTTTGTCCAGGTGTCGTGAAGGTTTGTGGCTTTGTAGGCGATGTATGCAGGAAGTCTGGATCCGCTGGCCGATACTGCGAACATCACTGACGTGCTGAACTTAGAACAATCGATAACTCTTTCTGCGTGTTTTGATCCGCGTCGCACAATGACTTTTTCTTGTCCAGGATCATCGCTCATGTTGGTCTCGTCATAATCGATAATATTCTCCGCTGGAACCCCTTGCAATGTTTCACTTAAATTTTTGAAGAATTCTTCGATGACTTCCTTTAAGATAGCCGCCCTTTGTCGTTTTATATTTTCACTCAGGCGAGAAGATATCAGCCGCTTATGTCGAGCAATGAAAGATTTTAACCATTTACGACCAGGCTCGTTATTCCGGAATCGTTTTTCAACTACACCTTTCCGATCCAAGAACCCTTTAACAATTTGTTTAACATCGGTGCCTGTCAGTGGATAACCCCAATTGGCTGCGGTTAAAATACCATTAACTAAATGCTTCTCATCGTTGGTTGATAAAACTTGTGGTCTTCCATTTTTAGAAATGTGCTTTCCCTGATAATTATCGGACAGTGTTGATTTTGGTATATTATATCGCTCTGCAGCAGTTCTCAAGCTCAATGTGCCATTTGCGACCTTCAGTAACGCTTTTTCTAAGGCAGCCTCTTCATAGTTCGTATTTTCTTCGACTTGTTGGAGCCATGGTCTACCTGATAACAGAGAAAATTATAAAAATACCGACCAGAATTAAATGGTCTACTCCTCAAAAAAAGTATCGCAAGTTCGGACACTTGTAACCGAAATTAGGCACAAAATTCCGTATTTTCTTGTAAAGATTCCCAGACTATGAAGCACCATAGTTTTAAGCAAATTATATTTACATAAGGCTCACAAAACATATGTCTATCACATTATCATGCATTTTTAACAAAAAATGATGAGTTTCATACTACTTACCATCAAAGTATGCAGAGAACAAAACAAATGCAACTTAACCGCTCATTTAAAACGTAACACTGTTGCCCCTACAGTACTGTTAGAGCCGCGCTTTATTCAAAAAAGATTTCTGCCACCTTTAGACAAAGACACAACGCACGAATTTTTTGTTGAGGTTATTGTCCAAAGATGGCGCAATTGGTTTAAAAAGTTTATGACGATTTGTCCGAAGTTAGGCTACCATCCGAAGTTATGGCATTTTACGGTACTCTCTACCTATAAAAACGAACTTGGGCTGATTCTGCGTTAAAACGATGACGTTTCTTGTCTACCTTCAATTATTTTTCTTTGGCTCGTTCAAACCTATGATGGATATTTTTAAGATGAGCCGTTGGTTAAAATTACTGCTGTTCTCGGCATTACTGGGCTACGCAAAAGCGCACCATTTCATCCGAGTGGTAATCTTGGCAGCCCTCGGCCTAGCAGGCCTGTGGATGGTTCATACCTTAGCTCAGGACTTCACCGCAATCCAAGCAAACAGAAACACCAACAACAACAACCTCGGGCTCGAGAATGCGGAGAGGGAGGTCTTCAAGAGGTCAGTAGATGACCCCGGGGCTACGCCATTGCCTCATGCACAGGTGAGCAAGGATTTTTGGAAATATTCACATCTTAAGTTTAAACAATCCCACAATTAGTCTTATTATATGTATTAGCGGGTATTTAAAACATGGGCACATTACTACACAGTGTTTGTAGGAAAACTTTTTATTCAAAACAAAGAATGAGAAAATGTGTTTATTGGGATTCAATCGAAAGTGTTGGCATGAACAAAAAAAAACTCTTCAAAGCACACATTAATTATGTATGTCGCTGGTTCTGCTATATCTTCGCTTATAATTTTTAGATGCTTAATTTTAATTCCGACCAATCCTGTGCTTTTGCATTTTCTGTGGACAAAATTGTAATACAGGGTTTGTTCGGAAAGTAATAGGAATGAGTCGATTTAAAAAAATTTATTGAGCCAATCGTTACAATTCTTTAAAAACTTTCAAAATAGGCTCCTTCTGCGTCGATGCAGCGCTGCCAGCGCGATTTCCAAGCTTTGAAGGCGTCACGGAAGGCATTCTCCGGAATAGCCTTGAGAGCCGCGGTGCATGCTGCTTGGATCCCCTCTGTCGTCTCAAAATACTTGCCTTTCATCGGCTTTTTCAGGCGAGAAAACAAAAAAAAGTCCGGGGGGCGCATCTGGGCTGTAGGACGGCTGCGGAAGCGTTGGGATGCCGGCCTTGGTCAGGTAGCTGTTCACAAGAAAGGTGTGAGCCGGGGCGTTGTCGTGGTGCAACTTCCAGTCGGATGCGATGTCTTGTCGGACCCGACTGACCCTTCGTTTGAGTCTCCTGAGCACTTCCACGAAAAACTTGCCGTTGACGGTTTGTCCAGGAGGAACAAATTCACGGTGGACGATGCCTTTGATGTCAAAAAAGACAATGAGCATCGTTTTCACTTTGTATTTGCTCATTCTTCCCTTTTTTGGGCGAAGAGACGCCGTCGTGTGCCACTCCGAAGATTGCCTCTTTGTCTCGGGATCATACTCAAAGAGCCACGACTCGTCACCTGTGATTACATTATTCAAAAATTGGGGGTCACTTTCACACATGTTCAAATTTTCTTGGTACACTTCCACTCGCCGCAATTTCTAGTCGTCAGTTCAAATGGTGTGTCACAATGTCATGAACCACAGATTTTAGTAAATTTAACATCTGGGCAATTAAACGAATACTTAGTCGACGGTCTGAGTTCAAAACTTTGCGCACACGAGTCACATTATCTGTGTTTGTCAAAGTCGAAGGTCTTCCAGCACGGTCTTCATCAGCGACCTCTTCCCGGCCCTCCAAAAAGGCCTGGTGCCACCGAAACACACCACTTCTTGCTATAGCAACACCTGGGTAAGCCTGCCTGATCATATCAAATGTCTCTGTCTCAGGTTTACCGAGTTTCACATAGAATTTAATCGCGTACCTCTGCTCTAACGAACGCTGCATTTTCGGCTTGCACCACTCACAGAAACACGTCGCGCGAAAATGCCTGTCCTGACTCTCCAAGTGCTCTGAGACAACTGACCAGCCGCTCATTCGTTAGCTAGGAACGCCCTCTACCGAATCCAGTCGGTGCGCGCACGCTCCGAAGTACAGTCATGGCGGAAGAAAATGAGTCCTATTACTTTCCGGACAAACCCTGTATATACTTCAAGCGGCTCTACTTTGTCTAAAGCAAACGAATTTAGTGTTTTTTTGTAACTTGTAATAAAAGTGTATTAGTAAAAAATGTATAAATTCATTGTAGACCTTTTGGGTGTTCTGCATAATTCCATCCGAATGTCTATGTAACTTAGCATAATAACATTAGATAATTTGATATTATGTTGAAAAGATATGAAATGTTTTCAATCTTTATTGCAGATAGACTGGAATAAAGTGCTGCAAAGAGATCCAGTAAGTTGTGCCAGGAGTTTTATGTGCCAATTAGCAGCAACGCATAAGGAATCATTGACGAGGGATGAAAAGAAGATGCTCGATCTAGTAAGGTAAACATTAAACTGACACGTCTGAAACATATTGAAAGTCGAAACAAATATTCAGTGACTAGACAAACGAAAGATCTGGGAATAATTTAGCTATCATGTGGTGATCGATAAGTCTCTATAGATCAACATAACACCTGTAAATAGCGACTTCAGAAATTCCAACCTCGGTGGTGCAGCATAAATGATAGACACATCGATATGGAAGGTCAGGTTTTTCTTTCGTTCTTCGAGACCCAAATAGATCATTAATCAAGGTCGTCTCATGCAAATGATCGATTAAATTTTCAAATGGAATAGATAATTTGTAGCAATCTAAGTATTACGCCGACGTCGGCGACATTTAAATTATGCATAAAGGAGGAATGGCAAAAAAGTTAACCATCATTTATTCATCTTGTTCTTTCTTTTCGATCAATATAAAGATAAATGAATTATTCAGAAATCTATTAGCTTTTCGATTATGCTTATACAAACGAAAGAACGACAGAAGAAAATTATGTATATAGGGGATGATCCTCAATGATCTGCTATGGAGGATTCTTCAGGTCATTTCAAGAAGAGAAGTTTGTTTGCATGGATCCGATGGATTAAAATGAATATTTTTAAAACAAGCACTGTTGGACATTTCGAGGGATCACAATCTGTATATCATTTGCCAAGCATACCGATATCATATAGTGAGTAAACAATACCATTGCCGTGCTCTCATAAAGATATTTGTTGCAGAACAGTGTATATGTTTTGTGTTGCAGATACTCTGTCAAGACGGACTCTTGGGCCAGCAGACAATTGAAAGAGGCGTTGCAAAATGGTGAAGAGCTCAAAAAACCTGGTAGATGTATGAAATTATACAGATTCTGTCCTTATACTAGTCAAATGATGATGACGCTACTTCGATTGTTTTCCAAATAATTACCTAAGTATGTATGCAGTTATAGTTCAGGATCCTATATACCATGAAATGACAATCATATGTTGACGTATGCTAATTTGGCACACATTCTTCCTGATTTCTTCTCTGAGACAACTTCAGCATCCAAGTCCAAAATCTTGAAAAAGGAGCATTAGAATTAGATGCAAATTTTATAAGATAGTAAATGAGTACAAGGGAGTAAATGCTCAGAGTTTTGTCTGCAATACATCTCCAAATACCACTAGCGAGGTCAGTGCAGGATACAGACTTGTAATTAGCACTTTGCGGCCACGTTTATTGTTTCATTATGCAATCGTCCATTGCATATTATTGATATATTGAATTAGTACTAATTGATATAAAATGACCCGTCAAATATTACAGTGTTTTATCACCAGTATTACACAACCGGTCAATATGTCATTATGGGTAGAATAAATGACAACACTGGCTTGATGCTGCCTTCCTAAAGAAGAGCTTCGACCCGTAACTTGAATCTCTATTCCAAACTTGCCAAATCACTCAAATCAGGACTGTAAAACCATTGATTGATGTATCCCCTACTAGGTAACAATAATCTGGTCCTGCCATTTACATATGCTGTGATTCACCAGCTGTTCAAGCCTTATTGTAACATACTGTTTATAACTGGTTGTTTTCCTGGTCGATATGCTCTTTCCAGGAAACCAACGAGCATTTTTATGATATACAAATACATTGCAAAACATCAGGTTTTCATCATTTTTTAACTATACTTATACGAGTATTACGCCAAGCTGAAAATGAATTATAATAGCATTGTTAGCGCTTAATGAATCAGCAACCAAAACGCCTAAATATTCGATGGATTCTGTAAAACAACCTTTGCTGTCCTTGATAGAAAGTCCCACATCGCAAATATACAATCAGGAGCCAAGTAAATTGACTGTGAAGTGGTAGTCATCCCAGGAGACATCAGACCCCAACGGGGTAGCGATTGTATTCGTAAATCTGTATTGACTTTAATAATGAAAATAGTTGCATGCATTGTCAACAACAAAGAAGTACCCGACATTTACGTATTGTCGCAATACTCTCCAGAGTTGTATGAGTAGAATGCTGAATTTCATCCGTCAATATATGAGACCATTTCCCGAAACTAGTAATCAACAGTTTGCGTGACAAAATTTCAGTGTAACGTGATTCCTGAAGAATGTCAAAAAAAATTTGTTTGATTTGGACAGTTAACCTTTTATTTCTTGGGGAGACTACCTTTTTGAGCTTCAGTACGGTGCGACATTGAAATTTGGTCTCGCGAACTTTCGATTTGCGGTATGGGTACATCGAATTTGCCTGTTGGCTATAAAGAAATCTATATTACAGTCGACGTGGTCTTATGCATAAATTATACATACTTCAATAGACAAGTATGCAGTTAATGAGCATAATGAATAATTTATAAACTTCCTGTACTTGCATATCCGACTTTGTTGCGTTTGCTTTTATGCGGATTGTAAAATTGTTGTATTTGAGAAAGTCGATAACAGTATTGATATTGATGGTAAAAGACAGAATACTCGGAAAACATAGCCGTAAGGTCTCATGTAAAGTATTTACGTGAAATTAGAATATAAACTGTTATATAATAATGTATAGGAAAAATGTAAATGTTTTATTATAATTATATTTATTTTTCAATAGGAGTTATGGTATAGTATTTACACATTTATCTCCCCAGAGACCTGAGCAAATTCATATACAGGGAAAACCAAGTTTGACGGCTTAAATTCAAGCGCGAGAAGTGATAACATAAACACATGTTAGAAAGAAGCCGGCTGAAGAGCGAACGTCGTCATCACATTGCCTAGCAACGGTGACGCAGAAGGTCGTGCAATCTGCCGCGTTTCCAACAATATGTTACACCAGAAAATGTTCGCACTTCTACAACAGGTTAGGTTAGTGTCAAACCCAGGAAGGAAGTCTGTTCGAACATTTAATTTAATATTTTGTTTTCATTTTGAATAGAATTGTTTATTCCATTTTTGATGCGACTTATCGTTTTGATTTATTTTAGAATAATCTTTGATTTCCATCGATGCTGATAAAATCAACACATCTTAAGTCATTGCCACAATTTGCGACAGCTAGAGGTCGGAAAATGTAACAAATAAGGTACTTCACCCAAATAACGCCATATTAAAGTTTGATTTTGCATGGCTTCATAAATAACCTCTTAAAATTTTATGAATCTTGGTAATTATTATCTCTACATATATTAGAATAAAAAATATAGTACCATATTTTCTTATAACAATTCAAGCAGACAAATTTTCATTTTTTTGATTTACATTGCAATTGGCGGTTTTAGGAACACCTTGTCCCAAATAACGCCAACTGTGATTTTATATAAAAAAAATATAAAATTAATTACGTAAAAATAGAAAATGAGGAGTATTAACATAAGTTTTTATTTAAAGTGTATTGAGTCTCACAATCAATACAAACAAATGATATTTTATCATTTTTCGATAAACCTACACACTATTCGTGAATGTAACGGTTACAAACGACACTGACGCTTATCACAAATCCTATCTTCTTGACAAATAAAGCAATACCGACTTCTCTTGGACTGAAACTTTTATTTTTTTCTTCGAATTGATTTTTTCAGTAGATGTAGAGAACAATAAATCTCTGACAACAACGTGTGCCCTTGAGTTAATTGCTTTGCGCCTTTCCACACACGAGGAGTTGTAAAAAACTCAATCAAGTTTTGGTTATTTTTATCATTCTCATTATAATTTTGTATCCCTTTTTGGTGTTTACTTTTACTGTTATCATTGCTTACGTCGACTTTTGGTTTTTCTGTTTTATTTTAACGTTTACTGCGGTATTTTAATTTTCCGTACCAAATATTCTCTTGTTTTTTCATGAATTTTATTCGCTTCTTCCGGATTCATCTTTATACCTTCCTTAATGTTTTGTGACTCATTTTCCTTTCTATCGAGATTATTTTCAATGTAATCAGCTTGTTTTGAACTGAGCAAATTTAAAAAATCTATTTCACTTCCATTCTTTTGGTAAATTTCACTGGTTTCCATAACACCTTGGATCTCACTTTTCTTTTTTTTAATTTATGGCTATCGGAGGATTCTCGGCTGGCGTTATTAGGCGCACTTAACCTAAAATTTATATTGCCGATTTTACAAAAACAGTTTACGTTTTGATTCAAACTATAAACTAGATCCAAAATAAACTTCTCAAAAATGACGTGGATATCAGCAAATTTAATTAACACAACGATTAAAAAACAAAATTCTTGCAACAAAAACTTTACCGCCAATAATGTTGTTGTTGGTAAATGATGGCAATGCATGTGGCGACAATTGTTGCATTCAGGAAGCAGTTTTTTATGTTCCATTGCTTTCCGGGATAGAAATCTATCAAACTATATCACATAGTTTTTGAATTGCATTAGTAGATTTCTGAATGATGGCTTCTGGTGTTATTACGGACATGGCATTATTTGAGTCAAGTACCTTACTATAACGCAATGCAGATTATCACTGCCTGCGTGTACGCCGGTGAAAACCATTTCGAAGCAGGACGACACTCCCCAATGAGCGCTAGATGGGTACTGATCAAAATCGCCCATCTATGATCATGGAGGTAGAAACCTTGCCTTGGAATGTTCCAGATGCGGTGTTGCCGAGCGAACCAATGTTGCAGAATTCATGGTGATGCTGACCTTTCATTTTAAACTAAAATTAAGATCCATTAAGACCGATCATAATCGATCTGAAACTGATTCGACACAATTCAAAAAAAACATTATTTGGGCGTAGCAAATAAGCTAACGCATACTTTCAACATGCATCTTAATTTAAGGGACTGATGGTGTAACATATTGGCAACACGGCAACGAGAGAATGAGCTTCGCTATCCAGCCGGCTTCTATATACACACATACATATGTATGTGTCTATATACACTTCTCTCTCGTACACATTGAACTCAAGCCGTCAGACAAATTTTGCTCTCAGTGTATGTAGATTCGTCCAAAAAATTACATCTCGCCGAAATAACACATCGTCTCAGATGAATTACCATATCTTAGTAGCTCACATTACTGGTTGGCTTTCCAGATTTTTACAGAAAAAAATGCTTATCATTGTATTTGTACAAAGGGTACTATGAAAGTTTTGCAATATGATTTAACAAACGGCCGCAGGAGGCTGCCTGTTACTGAATGTTGAGACATGTCCATGAGTGCATAGTAGCCGCCAGCAGCACGTATGTTGATTTAGTTGTTCATTCGTATTGTAAGGTGCGAACTATGGCATCGCAGTCACGTAGTGAGATAAGGGCAGTTTTACTGTATAACTAACGCGTGGTTCAAGCATAGACAAGAAATGACGCTTGCATTACAGAATGATTCGTAGGACTATATTCAGGTGGTACAGAGAATTGCAAAGTGGCAATTTCACTCTGGAGGAGGCTGAGAGGGAATGAAGGCCGCGAACGTCGTAAAAGAGGAAATCGTTACTGCTGTGAGGAAAATGTTTGACGACCAGAGAGCGACATACCAACAGATAGAGGAGACCTTACACCTTCATGCACTAGCAATTCATTCAATTCTACATAACCGTTTACAAGTAAGGAAACTTTGCTCTCTCTGGGTACGGCATAGTCTGACGGAAGAGCAGAAGATTCGTCGTACGACTTGGTGCCGAAAATGTTTGATAAGTGGCAATCTCGGTATGTGAACAGCATCGTGACATGTGACGAGACTTGGCTCTATTATTACGATGTGCTGACCAATGCTCAAAACAAAGGTTGGGTCTTGGATGATGAGGACACCTGTAGCTATCATAAAATCCTGATCTGTTAAGAAAAAATTGATAGCTGTATTTTTCAAATCGAGCTGGATTGTGGAGCGTGTCGTTTTGGACACACAGAAGTCAGTCACAGCTAAGTGCTACATGGAACAGACCTGCCTGCCATAGAGTCTATGAAAAACCTGCGGCCAAAGTCAAGATTGGACACTTGGTACCCCCACCATGACAACGCTCCAGCTCACCGCACCAAAACCTGCACCGAGTATTTGGCCACTACTGGACTGAAACTTATTGACCGCCCTCCTTACAGTCCAGATCTTGCTCCCTGCGACTTTGTTGTTTCCGCATGTGAGAATGAAGCTAAAAGGAAAACGGTTTTCTAGCGATGAGAACCTGAGGGCTTGGAACAACGAGTGTGCCGCACTCCCGGGTGAAACTTGGCAGAGCTGGTTTGATGACTGGTTTTGGCGGATGGAGAAGTGTATAGAATGTGGTGGAAATTACTTTGAACGAAGTTAATAAATAAAGATGCATTGCAAAACTGTTCTAGTACCCTTTGTATGTCCGCCAGGTTTGGTTAACCCAGGAACCAGAGTGTTAAAAAAAGAAAAGGAAAAGACAAAAATATAAGGAAAAGGATGAGAGCAGATGCGAAATTTTCAGAACGGACATCGATAAAATGACTCGATGAAATGGTATGGCTTTGGTAGTTTAATTTTTTTTTGTCAAAATGCTTTAACCTTTATCGTTCGTTTACGATTTATTGTCTAATTGCAGTACGAACTGCGGCCTCGTGTGCTTACTAAGTTGTCCGAGAGTGAAGTTCACCGATTAGCACAATAGAGAGTTGCTATATTTATATGCGATCATGTTTGACTATCAACTTTTGGGATGTTTTGATACTGAATAAGGTCGTATGGCGACAGAATTTTAAAGAATTATGATCTTTTTCATTCAAATACATTCCGATCAATAAGTTAAGCATATTCATTAACGACAAAATAATAAAACAAACACAGTACAAAAGGTAACCATTTATTGGTAAAAAGTTGGGCTGAATAATTTAATAATAAATATCGAAAAAAAATAAGTCCATTAGAAATCAATAAATTAAAAATTAAATACTTGCACTGAATTCCCTGAAAGGAACCTAGATTTTTAAATTGTTATATTTTCAAAAATGAAACATCATCACTTCTTTGTTTTTTTGCCTTTGCCGCTAGCTGCAGCAGGTGTACCGGACGCAACTGCGAGCTGAGCCTTCAAAGCCAAAAGTTTCTCAACTTCCGGTTGCCAAACAGATTTTTCTGCACCACCCTCTTTCAGTTTCCTCACTACCAACCCCTGAAAAAAAGAATTTCTGTATTCATAAAAAATGCTATTCAGAGAGTGTTTGGTGTTTTAAAGATGGATTTCTCTATCTGTTATGGATTTTTTTTAATAAAAAAGAAGGATTAAATAAATAACCAAAATGATATAGCGGCAAAAAAATAAATATTACCTGCTTATTGACTTCCTCTGTCATTTTATCAATTTCCTTAACATCAACTATTCCATTTTGCACGTGCTTTTGTTCAGGTTTGGAAGTTGCAGCTTTCTGTGCTGCTTCCAATTTTTTCTTCAGATCTAATAAAGTAGCTACCTCAGGTTGCCAGACTTTCTTATCAGCTCCACTGGATTTCAATAATCTGACTTTGTCAGCCTAAAAAGACCTCAAGTTAAGTATACCGTCCCAATCACGTCATTGCACTAAGAGCCGTTTTACACACAAGAAAATTACTCCGCAAATTATGGTCATAATTATGCCGAACATTTTTGCTGTCGAATTACACGTAAAAGAATTCTTATGAAAGTTTTCATGGTAAAAATATAAAAGCCGTTCTATAGAATATGCGCGAGAATCGGCGCAGAGGGTTATTTCCGTGCATGTCATTATCAAATGTCAACGTCAACAACATAACCTCACTTAACATTTGTGGGTGTGGTGTGTGGTCCTGTTCGAGTCGTAGGAAGAAGCGATCATTGTTATTGTTTATTCATAATGTCGTGGAATCGGGAAGAAGTTAAACTGTTGTTGGAGGAGTACCAAAAATGGCCAAACCTGTACAAGGTGAAGTCACCCAATTACAAAAACAGAAATTTGCGGCGTCAGGCTCTGGATGCGATAGTCCAAGCATTGAGTTTTATAATATTAACAAAGATCTCGATTTCAAAAATAAATTTAAATCAACGACGTCTCTTGTCTTTCCGATTATATTGGACGTCGTACCCGTTAGGGTTATGTCCATTCGAAAATATTACTCTAATGCGCAGGCGTATCATATGAATTACTCGGAAATTTTGTTTGCTTGTGTCATACAGGTTGTAGAGGAAATCTTCAATATTTTTTCCATGCAAAATTTTCGGCATAATTATGACCATAATTTTCGGAGTAATTCTCTTGTGTGTAAAACGGCTCTTAGAGTAGTAAAAATTCGTTCAGTTACCTGTTTGGCTACCATCTCTTCAACAGCTTTAACGTCAGTGTTGTCTCCGCTACCGTTGTTTCTGTCATTTTGTTTGCCGGCGAATTTCTTCTTTAGTTCCTCTACTCGAGCGGAATCGATTTTTGAAAACAATGGCGAGGGGTTGCCTAGTTTGTGGCCAGGTGGAAGCAACTGAACGATTTCAGGATTGCTGGAATTACAATTGCAAAATACAAAAATGTTATTTCCACTAGACATTATTGTTCATTATTTCAAAGTACTTAGTACTTTATTTCTAACACCGGTAGCAGGAAAAACAATATCATGAATCCGTACAATTTTAATATTTCAACTCAAAAATACAGTATTACAACACAGATAATAAAAGTTGCATTTTACCAACCTGGGCGTAATTACAACTTCTGGAGCATTGATTTGCTTTTTAAGAGTTGCACTAGTTTCAGGCATGTATGGTTGTAAGAGCACCGCCAAAAGGCATGCCAAATTACAACAGATCCCTACGACTGTTCCTGCTCTTAACCTGAAAAATATCACAAAAGAAGTGGCACATGCTTTTTACATCAGCTTATAAAATAGTAGACAGATAAACTAGCAATAGAAAAAGGATGAGAGGATGTTATTACTCACTTCTCTTCTTCAGTACCCTTGGCCAATACCCAAGGCTGGTTAGCTTGCATATACTGATTGCCATGCCTTGAGATTGCCAAAATATGCCTGATGCCCTCTCTCAATCGACATTTCTCCAATGCTGTTACATAAGCTGCATATTCTCTCGTACATAGAGCTAATACCCTATAATCTGCATCTGAAGGCGCCATTTGAGGAATTACTCCGTTAAAGCTGTTTTTAGCAAACATTAACGCCCTGAAAATAGCATAGGTAAATTTTTTTGTTGGTCTTTTAAGGTACTCGTCCACAGGTCCGCATCCGACGCATCAAACGGACTAATTTGTGTTAGTGCATCCATTACATCCATAGCAACCAACACCCATATTATCTAAAATAGTCGCCATGATAGCAATCTGATTGAAATACTTGTATCTTATGTACTTGTGTAGCCCACGCCACGCCTAGTCAGAATCAACACCACCTATAAACGAATGGCACAACAACGTATAGTGTAAAACATACAACTTAGGTCACAGAAGCTATGAATGGCACCGCTAGTGCCTCTAAAGCAGATGTTACTTACACCAGAGCCACAGCACACAGCTCAAGTATCTTGACAGTTAGGCAACACAAGCAGCTACTACAGATGAACATAAATTGCATGAAAGCTAGTTTCAAAGTGACTATTATGACGATCAGTTGGCTACAGTAGCGGACAAAAGTTTGGAAACAAATATTAACATTATTATAAACTATTTCATATACCTAAATTAAAATTGTGAAGGAACAGATTATATAAATATTAAAGTCTACTTTTGTCTCCCGTACTAATACAAGGTATAATTATCTTATCAATATTCAAGTTCTCTGAAAATAAAAACACGCGTTTTTTAAATACCACAGTTTTTGTAACGACAAAAGTATGGAAACATTTCAGTTTTGCCGTATTTATTCGTTCTGCGATTCTCTGATACTGCGTGCGGTAAATATTAACATCAGTGAGAATGACAAAAGTAAAAGAATTTTCAAAGGATTTAAGAGACAAAGTAATTGAATTATTTAGATGTGGTGTCAGAAATGTTGACATTTCTCAAAGATTAAAAATGAACAAAGAGACGATTTCGAAAGTTGTTAGTAGATATCAAGAATACGAATCAACAGCAACGCGCCCAGGTGCGGAAGACCGAAAAAAACCGATTATGTTTTGGATCGCTAAATTAAACGTTTGTCCCATGAAGATCCCCGAATAACAGCCACACAGAATCGTAGAAGAGGGTGCCGTGAATCTTTCCGTCAGAACACTGCAGAGACGCTTGGTGGATTTTGGGCTTTTTGGTAGGCGTTCCAGTGCAAGTCTCTCATTTAAAAAAAATCGTATTGCTCGGCTTGAATTTGCTAAAACTTATCTAACTTGGGCAGAACAACGATGGAATACAGTTTTATGGAGCGAAGAAAACAAATTTAACATGTTTGGATCTGACGGTACGGCATATGTGAGACGTCCAATACGAAAAATATTCGACAAAAAGTATCAGTTGCCAACAGTTAAGCATGGTGGAGACAACATCATGATTTGGGGTTGTTTTTCTCGTTCTGGAATGAGTCCAATTGTTAAAATTGTAGGGAAAATGGATCAAAAACTTTACAAAGATATTCTTAGTCAACATATGCTCCCTTTTGCTGAAGAAGAAATGACTGTTGATGAACATTTCAGCAAGATAATGACCCCAAGCATACCTCAAAATTTGTAAAGGACTGGTTAAGACTAAAAAATGTTAATGTTCTTACATGGCCTTCGCAATCTCCAGAGCTGAACCCTATAGAATATCTCTGGGAGCTTGTTAAAAGACAATTGACAAGAAAAACTTTTAAAAATAGGAACGATTTATTTATGTAAAAAATATTTGGCAAAATATCCCAACGTCTGTAAAAAAAAGGTGTCTTCTACGAGCAGCAGATGTCAAGCAGTGTTGAATGCTAAAGCCTATGCTACCAAATATTAGCTAAACAGTAAATCTTTTTGTAGAGTTATTGTATTTAATTTTTTAATAAAGAATATATTTCCATAGTTTTGTCGTCTCATTTTCGGTCATAAAATAGTATGAAGGTATTTTAATGTTAGTGTGTAGTACTACAGAAAACACAAATCGTCATTTGTATCCTCAAGACTTTAAGCAAGCTATATGAGAAAAAATACTTCTTAATAATACAGAATAAAAAATTAGCACGCTTTTTAAAAATTACTAAGAATGTTTCCAAGCTTTTGTCCGCTACTGTATGTCATTTTACAGTCACGTAATAATGGTACCGATTTCCGACACGATGAGAAATCACAACTTTCAGTGCAAAATTTAGATTTTCCTCCATGATCTATACAGCTGACAGAATGAAAATGAACCCACGTCGTTGGAGATGTGTTGACTGATCCACAATCCGTATGACCTCATAGGCACGCATCCGAAAATGTGCTCCTCCGAGCAATCTTATTCGAATTGCCGATCGTGCAACTTCTGTCGCTATCGCCAGTGTAAATAATCATAAAATTCATTTAATGTGAACAGTCTGCTGCTGATGTGCGGGCCAATGGACGCCAACCTTAAAGATGGACTCAGAAAATCGCATAAAATAATTGTTGCATACCTGTTAACAAAATTCCCAAGATTGTTCAGCAATTCCGAATTATTCTTAGTAACCAGATCGTTCCAAGAAAAACTGGAATCCTGCGATTCGGGCCTGATGTAAAGCAAATAAAATCTCCATACGTCACTGGGAATCCCCGTGCTTTGTGCATCGTTGCCAAATACTCCAACACCACGTGATTTGGAAAATTTGCCATCCTCGTAGTTTAAATACTCTAATGAAAATACATTTCAGTACTTCAAATAATGGAATTGATTCTTATAGAAAAATGCATTGACATATTTTTTACAAAGTCATACCTGTAGCCATCAAATGTGAAACGGTGGTGTAACCCCTATTAGCCCCCAACAACATAGCAGGAAACAGTACTCCATGGAATGGTACATTGTCTTTGGCCATAAACTGATATAACTTCACTTCTACGTCTTTCGAAGGTCGCCACCATTTTTCAAAGTCCTTTGTGTACGCTTTACAAATCGACATGTAACCAATGGGAGCGTCAAACCACACGTAAAACACTTTATTTCTATAGTCATCTAGGGGTACTGGCACACCCCATTTCAGATCTCTGGTGATACATCTAGGTTTGAGACCCTCTTTCAACCATGATTTTGATATCACTTGGGCGTTATTGGACCATCCAGGTGTGGAAAGTTTCATCCAATGGTGTAGCAAAGGTTCAAGCTGAAAATTTACCCTAAATGAACACCTTAGATGATTGCAACGGACAGTCGTTGGTCTAAATCACATTTTTCACCAAAAGCAACCCTACTTAAGCTAGATTTCTGCTTACGATAGCGTTACTTTTGGGTTTTGTTATTTTCGTGGAACACTCTACAAGAGCAAGCTTTTCCCAGTTCTACTAACTTTGAGCTGTTCAAAAATCGGATTAACAAAATTTCCTGATAGCAGCCGCGGTATCCTGAGTCGAGTTGTGGTCGCGAGTTGCTGTTGGTGAGAACAATCCCTTAGGCATATTATCGAACTTACCTTCGGTAAATCAATGAAAAACTGGTTAGACGTCTTAAGTTTGGGCCTACTTCCACACACCTTACACCTAGGGTTCTTCAGCTCTACTGCATTTACCAATTTACCACATCCGTCACATTGATCACCTCTGGCATCTTCATAGTTACAACCTAAATGGGGACAGCCCCCTTCCACAAACCTATCCGCCAAATATCTGTCACACTTCGGACAGTGCAGTTGCTCCACAGATTGGGTGAACATGAACCCGTTTTCGTTCAGTCGCAAGAACATTTCTTGACAAAGTCTGAAAGATTAATTTATAAATACTATTAAGCACTTCAAAAAAAGAAACTAAGGTAAACTATAGCAATGACAAGAAATAGCGTCAAGTTGGTTGACTCTGTACTTCCCATCCAATTTTGGACAAATTACTTTTTATATGGAGTCAACTTTTTGTACGCTCCGAGATCTTTATTGTTTGGCGGCTATGAAAATCCTTGTGCCCTGGCATAAAGCCGTAGAGTAAAATGGATATCAGTAAAAAAAAATCATTGATGATTTGTGAAAAACTGAAATTATGGACTTCCAATTTGAACCAACTCTCTTATCTAGGTTTACTATTGGTCGGCTATAAAGACTTACAGCTGGTCATGTAATATAATGAACATAATTGGAGAAAAAGTATTGTGAGTATGGTATTATAAACTTGCGGTAAAGGTACTAAAAATAGATGAGATTGTTTATTTCACAAAATATCTTCATATTTCCAGAGCACTGATAACCCTTTATTCACACTTGACTAACTACATTGTCACCCTATCAGATTATTTATATTAAATAAATTATATTGCCCTAGTGGTCACAACTGTTACATTGCCGGAGCATCATTGACCTCTTGTCTGCTGTTCAGGTAAAAATGCGATGCGTCAGTGACTGGTGAACCTGATATACAAAACATTAAGTCTTAAGTTCAAATATACCTCGGTAATATGTGCGCTAAATATGCCTAATAGGAGTGTAGAATTACTGGGCTTGGAAATTTATAAATATACTGCCACCAAAAAATGCTACAAATTCTACAAATAAAGTCTAAAAGGGAAAATGATTTTGGACCGCACTATATATGGTTTTACTCGTAGTCTCATATACATATGTTTGTTTATATTTTTTTTTTAAACCATAAGCTCAATAGAAGGCAGTTATCTTGGGAAAAATGTTGGTGAGATTAATAACTGGAAGTGAACGAGAAAGACTAACACACTATAAAAATCAATTGTGACATTTGCTTTTGTCAAGTGTTGAAGCATCCATACTACAGAATGGGTCATCCCAAATATCTTCCTCAATAAAACAACTTACTCAGACTGTTCAGGATTTGAAGTCCTTCCAAAATGGTCAAAGCTGATGTTAAACCACTGATATATCTCATTGTGGATCTTAAAGTACTTGTCACATATCTCCCTGCATGTTAACTTCTCCTCTAAAGCTTTAGTTTCAGTGGCAGTGCCATACTCATCAGTTCCACAAAGGTAGAGTGTATTGTAATTGCAAAGTCTACAGAACCTTGCAAAGACATCTGCAGATAGAACACAGCCTATTATATTGCCCAAGTGGGGGACATTATTTACATATGGTAATGCAGACGTAATAAAAATGTTCTTTTCTTTCGATACTGGAAGCCTATAATAAAATGAAGAAATTTGTTAGAATTACTATTCCTCAGTTAAAGGACGAAAAATCAAAAAGTATGATATGTGATGAATAAAAATCACTTTAACTGCAAGACAAGGAAGACTGTACAACTTGAAAGCAAGATTTCAAAGGTTTTAGATGAAGCAAAAACATCGCAGGCGTACTTCCTATCTCATTTTTTTTATATAACCACAGTTGAATACTCCCTAACATGAATCACACGGTCACTGGTGCAAATTTGTTTAAACAACTTTTCTTATTAATCACAAAAAAATATTTTTGTATTGGATTAGCTTTTTTATATCTTTTCAGTATTCTGAACAAAAAACAGTTCTTAGAAGTCCATCTCTTAAGTTGACAGTTTTCGAGTTACATGCCTTATAAAGTCTGAAAACCCCTAAAAAACTGGGTTAAAAAGTGATACTTTTGAGGTTGTCTAAGTTAAAGTTTAAACCTTCCCCTACAATATCCTGAGGATTATTTTGGGCTTAGTTTATTTCAAAGGATTGATTTTAATTGTTAACAACGCACTATGAGCCACGTGCGCGTTTCTCTAGAATACAAAAGTCGCGCGGTGCAAGACGCTAACACTAGAGCAGTCGAGCGTGTTATTAACAATTACATGGATGGGGTATTTGAGCTTTCATTTTCAGTGTCAAATTAACAATGTTAGCTAAGAAAAAATACTTATTTTGATTTAATATTTATTGTCATTAGGCAGCAGCGGTGGCCGCAGTAGTAGACTCTTCGGTCTCCTGATCAGTCGCCGTGCGCTGTGCGGGTTCGAGTCCCGTCCCAGGAGAAATTTTTCTCTTGGCTATGGATGTTGTGATTGTCCGTAGGTGGTAGATGGTCTCTGACTGTCGAAGGCGGAGATACCACCCGGCGGTTCTCGTAGGCGAAGCCAGAATGTGTGCATGTTGCATGCACACGTGTTCCCTCGCCAGAGTCCGTGTGGCGTCCCCCCCTTTTCCCATGTATCCCCCTATAGCCCCACGGTACCCAATGGGTGCTTAGGCCTTAGGCCTTCGTGGTAGTTGGAGTATAAAAAAAAACAAAAAAGATTATATCATCTATGATACATATTAGGCAGACTAAATAATATTTAGATTGACATATTTTATAGGCACCAGGGGAAAATGTGTAGGCAGGGGAGTGCCAACTGAGAGAGGAGAGTGACAACTTGACATATTTAAACATGATATAAATACCATTAGCTAACTAAGTTCAATAGTTTTTTATCAAGAATAACAAGACTTCCATTCCATCTGCTTTGAAACAAGAGACTCTTATGGACGGATTTTTTTAGAGTTGATTCAGGTCGATTTAAAATTTTTATGGACATAAGAGCACACAATTTTTAAAGAGTACAATTGACACGCGATTATGAGGCTGTTAAGTAACTGATAGGTTAATGGAAAGGTGTACAAAATATGAGGTAAAAAATTATCTTTGTATTTACGAGTTGAAATGTTTACGGATATGTAACTAATTTAGAATAAATAAATACAAATGAAAGGAGATTATGATGATGTTGCTAAATACCTGAAAGATAAATCGAAAGATGCAATATGCGAGTTAAAATAATCCGTGTGTTTATAATAACTAGCGATAAGGATGTTAGTATCTGACAGATACCGCGAAAGTTGCACAATATATGAGTTAAAACATTATATATGTTTATCAATGGTGAAAATAAAGTTTTAAGGTTGCAATTTTTATGGATGTATGAGTGCGCAATCGAGCAAAAGTCAGTACAAATAACTGGCGATTATGACACTTTACTTAATATGAGTTAAAATAAACTGTTTGTTTGGATGTTGAAATAGGATGATGTATGTGCAGACTATTTAAAAGAATTATGACTCCTGACCAGCAAATCGAAAGGTGTCTTTATTCTGATGTTTCAATAATTTTCGATCCCTTGGAGATTTGAGGTTTGTCATGAAATTTAGTTTGACACGCTCTTCTATTCTTCCCAATTTATCAATTTCACTTTGTTACTTTTTTTAAGTGCACTACTTGGTTTTCAATGTTGCACTGATCTTTTCTTGACAAATCAAGTAACATTTTCCAGTAATTGATGAGGCAAAAATGAATCTCCTTAATAAAAAGGCGATGGTCAATTGATCCAGAGAAGTGACGCCAGGGTAGTGTTAATGAGTAGTGTGCATGATCTCTAAAAAAAATTTATAATCTTTAATTATCATATTATTGTGTGCGATTCATGACTATTCAAGAATCTTTACTTTTTACACAGTTGCAGTAATGTACAATTCAAATTCATGAGGATATATGTACCAGGGTAAATACTGGAATCACAACCAAGTGAACAACTGTGTCCGTGATTTCAGTAGGCCAAATTGAGCTAGTTTAAGTTACATCGTGAAATTGACACACTTACACGAAAATATACATTTTGAATTGCACCAAGTGAGGATGACACCAGATTCAGGAACCACTACAAACATATTTTTTTCATGCATTTATAAAAATTTTCTATTATATCTTGTCACAAAAATATGCTATGATATTTGTTAATTTTTAAGCATATTGTGCCTCATTGGTTACCTTAATGTTATCATATGTTCCAAATAAAGCATAATATTTTGCACTGTTTAGATGGTTTATTTCCAATTTGTCAATTTACTGTGGATTCAAGTTGAAATTCCTATTTAGACAATTGAAAACCTCAAAAATAAATTATAACACTTTTGACAAACTACATGTTATACCCTTAAACCACTTATAAATCCAAAACAGTCAACTTTAGAGAAAAGTTATTAAGGATCTCTAACTTTTTTGCTTCATCTATTTATTGAGGAAACATTACTGACGATTATAAAAAAGTGCTTGATACACTTTATGCCTATATAAAGAAACATATTTAAAGTTACTTTGGCTTACACTTTTCCATTCCTTTGCTTCAACTTTGGTAGTTTGGTTACATATTTACTCCATGCTGCTTTGGCTGACTTCAATTCCTCCTCACTAACAACCTCAACAGTGTGTTGAGGTGAACCAGACTCTTCACTTGTCCCTTCAGAACTAGTGAGGTCAGGAATAGGTAGATATTTTGCTCCAGCTGCTAAAGCTGCATATGCTGTTTTGCCATCTATTTTGAAAAATGCTACAGCTTCCTACAATGATGGTATAATTCCTAATAGCATGGCTTAACTTAATCATTATGTAATATTATAGATGCATCTGCTTTTGTAGTGCAACAATTCTGATAAACATTTTCATTCTTGAACATATACAAGAAAAGTCTTCAATGAAAATATCCATAGTCAATAAATAAAGCATAAAATATTTTCAATTAGACTATACACCTAATTGTTGAATCCTCAGTTGGAACTAACAAATTGGAGTCAGTTACATATCACAAATAAAACATTACCATGTTACATTTGATGTTTTCTATTCACCTTTTCTGAACATTATATAATTATTTAAGCATGTCTACTAAAAAGATCAGTAATACATAAATAATACATTTACTGTATCAACTATCAGTATCAAAAACAATGTTATACCAAAGGAAGTATGATGCAAACTATAACTGCTATTACTCACCTTAAATTGAGGGATGGTTTCACAATGTTCTATCCATTTTATAATATTTGGCAACAAAAGATATTCTTTCCTCAATGCTTCATTCAAATATAATGGATATAATGTACTCCAAATAACAATATCAGCATTAGAAAATGTGTTCTGAAACATAAGACTTCATAAAATCTCTCTGAAAAAATTTCTAATGGCTCCACTTACACCAATTAAATATACTTTATCTTTTAAAGAACATTCTAGTTTTGTTAAATATGTTTGCAGTGTCTTTTTAAAACTAGGATTCTTCACGGAACTTCCACAAAGATAAGCTAAGCAAGGAGACAGGTTTTTTGCTTCCCACTCCAGCCAGTCAAGTACCTCCGATGTATTTTCTTTAACTGGGTTAAAATAACAGACAGCTGAATTGGGTAGAAATAAAGTTAGATTTTCTTCCTCTTCTACGCAAGGCAAACGCCTGGGTTGAGGTATAGACCGATCTAAAACCCATTGATCTAGTTACACAATATTCGAATGTATTCATATAAGAACCATAGCCATCGAACCATAGCATATGTAATAGCTTACCATTAACATGGACTATTTTAAGGTTTACCGGAGCCTTTGACACGTTTTTGGCTATCAATAACTTCAGGGTTGCAGGGTTGTTTTCGTTAGTGTATATTAACGCCATATTCAGTTAATAATATAGATTTTCGATGCAATAAAGCTATGAAAAGTTGACACATCCACACATTTGGAGTTAAAAACAAAAGTGAGGTTATGTTACGTTGTCACATACATGTCAAAGAGCGAGTTGGTTGATGTTCTGTGAATGGATGAATCCAGGACCGTCTTTAGAATTCCAGCACTCCTCTGGATTCGTACAATACAACCAGTATATTACTCGTATTAATTCGATGTCACAATTTTAGCTGCACTGGAAAGTATTGCGGGAATACTGTCAAATTCCAGTCAAGAGCTTACTATAGTTGTAGTCACCGTTCTTGGCGGGTCGAGGTAAGACTACCAGTATTCCTTTATAGCTCAAACCATACGTTTTTCAGTTGTGTGTGTCCGTCTCGATAACTTTCGTTACGTATGAGTGCCCTTCAATTATATTTGTCAGAGTGACAACTTACTTGACATGGGCGTGCAATTTGAGTTGTCCTGGTATTAATCTTCAATATAAAATTGTACAGTGCCCGGAAATACGATCAATGGAGAAGGTCGACAGTTCGTCCTAAATTTATTATTTCCAGGAAGAGAATGAAAGCAGCGGTCCCCTCTGTTACCCATTTCATACATATTAGAGTTGGTTGGGAAAATTAAGATCCGCTCATGGTACGGAGACTCGATCTGTTTATTATTTCATATGGCGTTGATGACGTGACCGCCAAGAACGGAGACTACAACTATAAAAGTGTAAAAGCGTCCTTCACACTGTAAAACAATAAGTGAGAGTTCAATAATTGAGTAAATCTTAATCGCCACTTGTATATTATGGTTTTCCGTTTGACAATCTCTAACCACCTTCTAGGGATGGGCGGTTATTGATAAAAAACCTGTTGTAGGGTAACCGAACCAAATTTAACCGGATATACGGTTAATCGGAAAATAGCTTTTATTTTTGTTCATCAACAATTTAAAGTGTCATTTGCCATGGCTAGCCAAGCGCTGGATAACGCATAGCATACGGTGAAAACGTGCACAGAGCGGCATTCATGTCAGACTCACGACAATGCTGGAAACATGTTAACATTTGTCAAACGTCAATAAGTCTTGTCATAAGCCGTGGCGCAAAGAATACGTTTTGTGATCATAGAACATCTATTAGAATCTAGAATCAAATTCAAGCGGATAACCAAATGGAAATGGTATTTACCATTTTGGCTTGGTATTTACCAATCCGTTCAAGCGATTGTAGTTATCAGTTTGGTTATAAGATCCGTGACGTCACGAATCAGCTGTTATATGTCATAGTTATCACCGCAAAATTGTGGTATTTACCCAACTCAAGAGTAGTTTTATATTTCTGGTTATTATTTGAAATGTGATAAGTTAGAATTTTGCCGGGTATTGGATATTGTTATTGTACCTCAGCTTCATTTTTGAGAAAATTGATACAGGCTGACTTCAGTTTTACCATAATGTGGAGCACCTTATTAGTTATACTCATTACGGTTGTTGGGGACACTTTAAATGTAGTTCTTATGCTTAACAAAGTATCCTGTGTAGCCATAAACCACAAGAATATTAAAATATGGCCATATAAACTCACTAGATGATATCCACCTGTATACGGTTTTGCTAATTTCTTTTATCATCATTTCTGCTGAATCAATAAATGTTTTCTTTGACATGCGGAAAAATTTAGAGAATTGAAAGTTATCATAGCTACAAAGCCATGGTTCCATCATTAAAAAAAATCTGAAAAAATTACATGTCTCCCATGAATATTATGAAAGGTTTCTTATTTAAACTTTCCATATACAGTTGTAGACGAAAAAGCACCGATTATTAAGTGATAATAAAAATAATCAGAGATTATATACGCGCTTTTCTAAAATAAACAACTTGCAACAAAACCGCGGTTAAAACCAACGCGTTCAAGCGATTCGAGTAACTGACGTCACCATCCCGTGTGTCATCTTGAACCATATTATAACCGCGGTACATAATACGGAAATTTTGGTTATCCGCTTGGATTTGATTTAGGTCTATCCCAAAACAGCAGGGTATTACGTAACTTGAATCAAATTCAAGCGGATAACCAAATGGAAATGGTATTTACCATTTTGGGTTGGTATTTACCGATCCGTTCAAGCGAGTGTAGTTATCAGTTTGGTTATAAGATCCGTGACGTCACGAATCAGCTGTTATACGTCATAGTTATCACCGCAAAATTGTGGTATTTACCCAACTCAAGAGTAGTTTTATATTTCTGGTTATTGTTTGAAATGTGACAAGTTAAAATTTTGCCGGGTATTGGATATTGTTATTGTACTTCAGCTTCATTTTTGAGAAAATTCATAGAGGCTGACTTCAGTTTTACCATAAAGTGGAGCTCCTTATTAGTTATACTCATTACGGTTGTTGGGGACACTTTAAGTGTAGTTCCTATGCTTTACAAAGTATCCTGTGTAGCCATATACCACAAGAATATTAAATATAGCCATATAAACTCACTAGATGATATCCACCTGTATACGGTTTTGCTAATTTCTTTTTTCATCATTTCTGCTGAATCAATAAATGTTTTCTTTGACATGCGGAAAAATTTAGAGAATTGAAAGTTATCATAGCTACAAAGCCATGGTTCCATCATTAAAAAAAAAATCTGAAAAAACATTTCTCCCATGAATATTATGAAAGGTTTCTTATTTAAACTTTCCATACACAGTTGTAGACGAAAAAGCATCCATTATTAAGTTATAATAAAAATAACCAGAGATTATATACGCGCTTTTCTAAAATAAACAACTAGCAACAAAACCGCGGTTAAAACCAACGCGTTCAAGCGATTCGTGTAACTGACGTCATCAACCCGTGTGTCATCTTCAACCATATTATAACCGCGGCACATAACACAGAAATTTTGGTTATTCGCTTGGATTTGATTTTGAAAAGTGACATTATGTGGATGTTTTTTTTATAGCTTTTTTATAACATTATGTAAGTTTTCCAACAAGGCGTCAACTTAAAACTGCTCACTTGCAGCAAGCGCTATTTGCACACTAGTCTACTTACTCAAGAAGTTAACATCTTATCGTTTTTTTTTTTTGGCATTATTAAGGTTTTTTGTCTAACAACCCTGCGGTTATGCCGGTATTCGTATAGTTTCTCTCCAATATCCTCATATGAGGCGGGGCGTTTCGAAACGTGGTCACGGATAGCAAAAACAACACAGGTGTAATATTCATTAAGCCCATATTTACTGAGATTTGTGTAAATAGAAAAAGAAAAACCCAAAAACCCTCCTGTCGGTTATTGCATTTTTTTAACCGTTAACCGGTTAACCGCACAAGATAAAATAACCGGTTAAAACCATTTATTTAACCGACTATTATTGCCCATCCCTACCACCTTCCTGACATGACATGTTGACACTTCATTGTGTTGTATGTTCATGTTGTGCTGTGGTCAGAGATAAACCCTTCTAGCTGTGTTGTTTAGTGATTGGTAAACGAAAAATGATAGAAAAATTTGTCAATCGTCTAGATTCCTGCTGAGTTTTTCCGTTTTATGAAAGTAAGTAGCATTTTTCAGCATTACAATTCAACCTACAATATCATATTACCACTTTTAGATGGAGAAACCTTCAGATAAGTTCGTCCTCAAAGATGATATGCTCACATCGCTAAAATGCTCCTTATGCGAATCATTTCTATCAGTCTCTCCAATTTACATTACTTCCGAAGATGGTAGCAAAATGAAATGTGGAAGATGCAACTTTAAAACTCATATAGTGTGTAGAGCTATTTGTTATGAGAACTTAGCCAAGCAGATGAAATTCCCTTGCATTAACAAGCCCTGTGAAGAGATTCTGGACTGGGACGACGTCAAATCGCATGAGAAAATCTGCGAACATCGTACCATACTCTGTATGAAGACCAACTGTAATGAACGCATAAAAGCGCAGGACTATATATCCCATTTTAAAACACAACATGAAAAATCATTATATACAGACACAATGGTTCTCAAAAATATACACAGTGCTTATGGAATGGGAGTTTTGCAAAAGGATTTCAATGCATTTGTAGTATTATTTGATTGTGATAATGCAAAATTTGGCCTAACAGTATGTTCATTGGTACCAACTGACAAAGTCTTTAATCTAACCATTACCTCTCCAGGATCTAAAATGTCTATTACAATTAATGAACAACCAGTAAAAAGATTTAATGAAAGATATCACTGCTATAAATGCATGCAAGGGTTATGCAAGTATGAATTTCATGCATACAGGCACCATAGACGAAACATTTTCAGTAAAATGAATGTAAAAGTTGAGAAAGATGTTGTAAAAAAGACCTATGGCAATCAGACTATATATTACAGAATAGATATTGTTGATGAAAAGAAAGAAGAAATTGATGATTTTGATGATCTTGTGGATAAAAACATGATTCTTGATGAAGCATCTGAAGATGAAAATGATGAAATATGTTTTGAGCAAGAAAATTTCTTGAGAGATACTTTAATATGCCCTCAATGTTCAAATAATCTTGAAGCTCCCATATACCAATGTGTTACAGGTCATATCTTATGTAGCAAATGTAGAGGTAAGTAATAAAAATTTGAATTCTTAAGGCTTCAAGTTACCTACATTTATTCTGATGTAAATATGCATCAGTAGTTCCATCATAGATAATTTATCTTTTTGGGGTATACATGAGGAATTCTGGCATATGGGAGATAAGAGTCTAATGGGTTAATGCAGACCCAAGATAAATTATTTGTTTTTTTTTTCTTATATAAATAATGCAGTTGAAAATATGATGAGATGAGAATATTTATTCTCTCCACTCTCAGAGTAAATTAAATATTCTACCTAAAACATCTTTTTTTGCTAAATCGTGAAGGTTTTTCTTTCACCTGATAAAACAAATAGCTTATCGTAGAACTGTAATGTGTTTTCCTTAAATCATGTTATATTGTATGTTTTACAATAAAGATTATTCTGGAAAACTGTAAAGTCTTCCCTAAGCCTTTATATACACAATTTTATTGTTTATCTCAAAAATAAAATTGAAATGATTGATGTATGAGCATGACATTGCAACAGATATACCCTAAATACAGCATGAGAGAAATAATCTTGAAAAAAAAAGTGGCTAATTATGTACTGCATATGTGGTTTTAATTTTTATAGATGGAGCAGAGGCATGTCCAACCTGTGAATCTAAGATTGAAAATACAAGGAACTACCTTTTTGAAGAAGTTGCCGCATCGTTTGAGGCTATTAGTACACAAAAACCTGAAGATAGACCTCAAGCTGAACTAAAAGACAAAGAGATTGAATGTCCTCAACCTAAATGTTTTGAAAAGATACATCTTAAAGATATAGCTGACCATTATAAAGAACACCATATAAACAATTTCCATTTCAATACTTTTTCCATTAAAAGTGTTTATACTTATTATAACATTGATGTTTTGGTAAAATATGGAAAAACATTTATACTTTTATTTGATTTTGATGATGTCAATTTTGGTATTAGTATATGTTCCTTAGATGATGAAGAGGGGTTGGAGTATGAAATCACATTGAGTTCTGCTGATAATAATCACTCTGTTAAAGCTATCAGGCAGAAGCTTGTAGTGTTTGATGATGCTACATATTGCTTCAAGTGTGCATTAGGTAAGTAAAACATTATTTAATTATGAATATATTTGAACCAGAGTTATAAATGATTTAATCAGTACTGTTAAAATATCATCATTTGCAATCAAACATTGGTTTTGTCTAAAACAAACAAAATGCAAAATTCGACCTTAATCTTACAAAATATGAGGCTGTTTTATCTATTCTTCTAGTCTGCATCAAAACAAGCGCGTGTACACGTCCCCATTTCTATTTGCTTGTTGCTACTTGGCCCAGGAGTATAAGGCCTACTTGCCGATATGAATGCAGGAATTTTGATATTGTGCGCTGGTATTTTAATGGGGAGTAGGTTTGAGTAGAGAAACTGTATTTTTCATGAATTACTTACAATCGTTTTTCAAGGATGCTGTAGTTTATTCATGTTTTTGTGTGCGTGCTAATAGGATTTTATTTTTATTGTACATTACTGTATATTTCATGTCAACATTAGAAAGTTTCCTCACATCTGACAAAACTTTATTGTACAAAACTTTTCATCTGAGATTTGGAGGTCAACTTTTGTCACTTCTTATTCATGGAAAAGAGTGGAAATATTCACAATATACTTTTGAAGACATTATGTTGGAATAAAAAGTTTGGAAACAATAGTTGAAAGTCTGTGGTTAGCAAAATATATCATATATCTAAATGTATTACATAACTGTTTTAGATTATTTTTCCTACATGTCTTTCTTGAATCTCTAGGCAAATGCAAAAATGACCAACATCATGGGTCTCATAAATTTAAGAGGAGAGACATCTTCCGAAATATGGTAACGAAAATAAACAGGGACTCAACAAGGAGAATGTTCAACACAGTCAATATGAACTATACTGTAAGAATTGTTGATGTTTCGACATTGGTGCAAAGGGATAAGATTATCAGACAGATGTTTGAGTGCACAATTTGCAAGGATTATATGGTTAGTAGTAATTTACAGTTCTAGTACAGACACCGCCGCCGAGTTATTATCAAATCACGCGTGTAGTTCATACTGAGTTTACGTGTTTAATTTGAGTATGAAGCTCGACCTTTACCAATATGATTTAGTATGGAGTATGTCAATTAGACATTAAAAGATTATTTTGCCCCTTTCACATGGCAGATATTGCGGTTGCAGCTGCTATTCTGCAACCTTTTCTATCACACTGGATCTGAATATGGATCCTGTACTATTTTGTCTACCCTATCATGATGTTGGATAGGCTCAGACCTTTTTGTATCACATTCTATATATTTTGCAGGTTCCTCCAATCCCTCAATGCCTATCTGGACATTCGCTATGCAACACGTGTGCCTCAAAGGTAGAGAAATGTCCAAGTTGTGAGGCAGCTCTAACAGGTACTCGAAATCTCGCATTGGAAGAGGCCACAGAAAAAGCACAGCTGGTCTGTCAGAACCTGTTTGAGAACTGCATATACAGGACGTCATTGAAAAGGATAGCAGCTCACGAGGCCGAATGCCCAAAGAAGCCAAAAAGACTGTGTTCAGCTGAGTCGAAAAGTGAAGCTTCCAAGAAGTAGAAGATCGGGGTTGTACACTTTGTGAAATATCATACTTAGGCATTATGAGATTCGATTTTAGAGAGCTTTGAGATTGTATGTGAGCACAAAGTTAGCAGCACTTCTGATGTCCATATGTTTATTCAGCATAGTGACACTTCCGTCACCAGACTCGTGCTTGAACACTTTCTCATTGTTTACTTGTCTCTACAGGATAGCCTATCTGAGGACATTAAATGAGTAGACAATGAGAAACGATATTAAGAATGTGTGAGAGAAGAGATACTAAATAAATTATTTGCCGTCAACGTTTCTTTTTACTTCCCACGCCTACTGGCGGGGAAGTATTGCAATTGCGAAAAACCATATCACTCCTATAACTTGAGAAGTACTTTTCGGTTTGGATGAAATTTGTACACAGTGTTACTACTATGCCAAGCATGCAAGAGCTCTGCAGTTTTTGAAATTAGGTCCAACGGTAGCGGAGCTAGTGGTAAAATTACGAAAATCGCTCAAACTGTCTTTTTTGATGTTTTTGGGGCTTCTGATCATTTCCAGAAAAATATTTTTTAGGGGTTGAAAATCGGTGGTTGGAGGTTGTAGGGGATTAATTTTACGCACCTCTCAGATATTTCAAACATCAAAGATTTCCACGTACATTTGCCCTTCATACGCTGAGCACTGTCTGCGGGTCTGCGTCTGATTGATTCTGACTGCATCGACGGTTCTTTAGAGTTATCATTCTAATCTGGTTCAGCACCGTTGCCAGATGGTCGATACTTAGAGCAGGGAAGAAACTAGCGCTTGCATTATCAAATGGGTAGGGACTATGGTGTATGAACTAATTGCATGGGCCTGTTTGGCTGACTTAATCAATTTAATTTTTTTGTTATATATGTTTGTAGCTAGTTCAGGGGGACTAACGTGTGTCAAACATAATCGTTTATGAACTGATGACAATGTTGCGTGGGAAGTGCAGAGTCAACTTACTTGACGGCATTTTTCGCTTTTGTAAATTGGATTTCCTTGAGGGTGATTTACCTGTAAAAGGTGGAAACAATTTACAATTATCTCCGTACTTGAAGAAACAATTTCACTCTCCATCTATCTTGTTATTTAAGTGGCATATAGCACGATTTTAAAGTCAAAATGGCTGGCGAGGATATTTTGTAAGCAAAATACCTAACTTGTGTTCTAGTGAAGTGTTGTAGAAAATAATCACTGACATGTTGTATACATGAGATATTTAACTTCTGTAAAATAAGTCTACAGCTCAAATACTCTTTTACTTTCTTACATAGTGCTACATACATTTCGATTTTTTTAAATCTTTGCATTTCTCACACTGATGATTTTGAGTTTTGTAATTATGGAATTGTACACCTGACTGATTTTATCTTTTGAGAATAAACAACTTGACAATTGATGTTTTTTTGCTATAGATAATGTAAGCTTATATAATGAATCCTCATCAAATTAAAGTGCTGCAGATAAATATGAATGGTTACTTTCAGGGTTGGCAAGATATTTTTCTGTGAATTCTCTTTTTAGCACTCTATCTTTCAAACCAAAAAGTCTTTGGTTCAAATCAAGAAGACTGGAAACAGGATGACAAAGTCATAGAGGAGGTGAAGCCAGGCGTGTCGAGAATAACTGCCCGTACATATGGGCGACAAGTTGTGGAGCTGCAAAAAAACGAGTTTAGCTGTAATATGTAATTGATCGTAATGAAGACTAGAGATAGAAGGTTAAGCTGCGTAAATGGTATAAATATTCGTATGAAGCTCAACGTGTCGCCCAGTATGGTTTGGCTCTCGGAAATCTAGTAGGCGTAGAGCGTCTTCGCATTGAAAAATATCATCAAAACCTTCCACAATACGTATGTGCATTTCACTCACGTTTTTCCATGCTTTGTAGGTTTATTCATTTCTGCATGCAACTCGTCCGAACTGTCAAATTGGAATTGTATACAGTAATGATGACACCAACACACAAAGATGGCATATGCGCAGAACCTGAAATTAATTTTCTACACAGTGTACCATTCAGTGTACACACGAAAGAGATGCTCTATGCGCAGCATCTGAAATTTATTTCCTGTACAGTTTCCTTACTTCATCGTCGACATTTTTGGCTTCACCTCCACTCTATGAGTTTACCCTCCTATCTCCAGTCTTGGTGAATGGAGAAGTTCCGTGATATTCAGAATCGCATAAGTAATAACATACCAGCAAAATATACACTAAATATAATCAGCCAGTGAAAAAATTATTGAAATCGGCCAATAAATGAGAAGAGAAATTGATACTTAAATTTGGCGCATTATATCGCGAAATTATTGCTGCAGTTCGTTCGCGACTGACGTCACAATTCTCTAGTGGGCAGCGACTCGTCGCGTAGGTGTTCAACAGCGTCTATGCGTTTAGTCATTAGTCTATAGACAATTCATAAGACACACCTGTGCGCTCGGACACGTGGTTTCCGGTTGATAACTATTGAGTACTGTGTAAGTTCAGACCATTATGGAAGCCGGATTTGTAAAAGGGTTAAGTGACAATTTATCCAAAATTGACATTTATGCCGTGATGGAAGTCTTTCTTCAAATCCATCATATACAAGCGCGGAAATAAAAGGTGTGAAACTTTAGAAGTAAGTATTTATGTCTACTGCTACACTATCACAACTAGCGGCACAATGTGCGATACCCTACTGAGGTTTTAAATAAATTAGTGTTGATGCTTAATGTGAGTACAGATTTGCGAATAATACACAATACTTTTCTAAAATCTCATTAAAGTATATATAAAGGGTGTTAATAAAGTATGTAGACAAACTTTAACCATCAAACCCTTGTTCAATTTGAAGACTAAAATGTTCATATGAACATGTGTCCTTAACGGCTTTCTTTTCGAGCTAGAGCACTATGACTAAAGAAATACGAGTAATGTTCCAAATATGTATTTCAATGAATAATGAAACGTATTTATTGGACAGTTGGTATAACGTATGATAAATTTTGAATGTTTTATAAGTTGCTCAGGCTCAATATGAACTTGGATAGAAATAGAACTATCCTGTATTTTTGGAAAAAAGATATTTAGATGGTCAATAGTTTTGATCAGTAACATTCGAATAGAAGACAACAATAGAAAATATCGCATAGTTTCTTTTGCAATAAATGTTCAAAGTGGCCAGACAACAAAACAAATATTTGACAGCTGTCGAATTATTTGAGAAAATAAATTAATTCAATTGTTTTCGGGTACGTCGTAGGTGTCTAGATAAGCACAATGCTTAAATATAGTATTGTGATCAAAACAAATCAATGTTTTTTAAAAAATTGTATAACCATACCTGTCAGCATTTTTCCATCTAGAAACCATTTGTAATACAAATTGCGCGTTTGAGATTGGTAGAAAATAAGAAATAGTCGTCATGAAACCACATGATAAGTTTCAGATGCTAGGAGCCCCTTCCCACTTCAGTTGGCCCATTTCAAGATTTGTACCAAAATATGCCTTTATAAACTAAACATGACGAAACTATTTACTTCTAAAACAATTTATTTTCTCAAAAACATTTCAGATACACTCTAGTCGTAAAAATACATATTTGAAATCATTTAGACCTATAACTAATATAACATCTGAACAAATAAACAATGTGCGAATAAATGCGCGAAGCTAACAAAGCAACAATTGAAAGATTACCATTGGGTAACATCACCTTTATTTTTTATTACGGCTGAAAAGTTTTGGCAAAAATTTGGTGCAAAACAATCCCATATTTCTTGAAGCTTTTGTCTCAGTTCAGTGATTGTACGAGCAGGATGTTGTCGTAGAACCTTTTTCATCTCGTGCCACAAAGTTTCAATATGTGACAGATCTGGACTGCTAGAAACCCATTTCAAAGTGGTACATTATTTTCTTCCATCCATTTTATAGCCTTTTTTGAGGTATGGCACGCTGCACCATCTTGCTGAAACACAAAATCTTGGCCGGTTGTCAAACATTCGTCCATCACTGGTAAAAGCGATTCTTCTAAAATTGCCAAATATTTGTTTGTATCCACATTTCCATCAATAAAATGAAGTTTTCCTACTCCTTTTGATGACATACTGCCCCAGACCATAATGGATGCTGGAAATTTCACTTTTCTCTTCAGACAGTCAACATAGAATGAATTTTTTTGCGAATAACTCTACTGCGCCTGTCACCAACACAAACTTCGAATCGGGCCTCATCACTCCATTATATTGCACACCATTGTTGAGGTGTCCATTGTCTATGTTCTTTAGCCCATCTAAGCCGATTTTTCTTTTGCAGTCCACTCCAGTTAATAGTGGCTTTTCTTTGGCCTATAAACAAGTTGTGCAACTTTAGGGTTTTTACTTTACTTTTTTTTATAATAAAACTTACTTTGCAAGTGCTAAATCCCAGTTTGTGGGCCCGTCTATGAGTTGTGGACCTCGAAATTCTCCTTCCAAAAGCGCCACTCCACAGAGCAGTTAATTGTAAATAATTGGCACGCGGGGGGGGGGGATTTTCTATATATATATATATAAAATAGTAGAGAAAATGAAAATCGTACTTCTATTATTGATAATGTAATTCTAGATCAAATAGTTAATAAATATATTTATCTAATAAAACATTGTTTTGTTTTCCAATTCTTGGAAGAAGTACACAACGATGGAAGCATCGTGTGGGACCCGCATTAGACTGGCCACAAATCACAGAATACTTTAATTTATTTCTGTAATTAGTGTAGACTGGCCTCCCAATCTATTATAATTCGTTGCTACAAACTAGTAACCTAGTAACTCTTGTTTTTCCAACCATCCTTATTTGCTACCACTGTCAAAAATAACGTAATGGAAGGATTAACGATTTGTTTTGTTGCACTAAAAACTATCTATTGGCTCACATTGCCTTCATACGAATACCAATACTTTGCATTTAGGCAGTTTACTCTCCTACTCCTGTTTCCAGTCTTCTTGGTTACCCGTTGTTGTGACGTTTCTTTGACTTGACATTTCTTACATCACTTTTTATCTGCCAAAAATTTTGAACAACCACACTTTTCAGTACTTTAAAGTTTTAAAATAATGTAACATACTCTCTCAAGTGCAAAAAGGCCATTACTCGTTATCAATAGCTGCAGCGCCATTCAATGTTAAGATGGGAATAGCTTAACATTACTGACAATTATGTGGAAGTCTAAATTAAACTACAATTATATACAACACTGTCTCAGCCAAATAAGGCTGATGAGCACATCTAATAAACCAAAGAATCACTACGAATCGTTGGGCGTATCAAAGGGTTCGACGCAAGGAGAAATAAAATCAGCGTATTATAAGTTATCAATGGTGTATCACCCTGACAAAAATCCAAATGATGCTGCCAGTTCCCAGAAGTTTAGAGACATTACTGCAGCTTATGAGGTCCTGGGAAATGTTAAGACGAGAAAGCTGTATGACAGAGGTATTTGTTATAACATGAGCATCTCCTTTTGGTTATAGCAGAGTACTATCAAGTATTTTGTTATATTCAGATCAAATTATGCTGATACAAAATTGCATTTCTAGCTTACCTTATGTTGTCAAGGATAGCTCATTTATTTTGCTGCTCATAGTATTGAAAAAAATTGTATTCAAAGTTTGTATCTGAGCTAAACTCTCTGAATTTTTCAAGGGAGTCAGTTTTGACAAAGATATTAATGTATAGGGTTCTTCCCAAGCTAACCCAATATGTATTACAGGAGAAATTACTAGAATTTGTTGAAATCTACATGAAAGGTTTATTCAGCATTATTAAAAACTATATATATATATATATATGCATTAGGGGTTTCAAATTTTGAAACAGTAAGCAGTACAATACAAAATCGTATATGAAGGCAAAGTTGGGCAACTAATAAAATGTTACTTAGACAGGTTAGCAATTCAGAGTATTTTGGAAAGGAAATTGTCATTCCAAATCAAATATGTCGACTGCCACAAGATGGCGTTTATAATTTCTCTAGTTACCCCTATGATATGGTTATCGACTGAAAGGGCTTGATGATTGATGAAAGGAACACAATAAGCAAAGTGACGTAATTCTAATCCAATCTGGCGGACGTTTAATAGGACAATTGATAATGCAATATTATTGTAACATGGTGATGATCAATCTGATGATGAAGCCAGGAAGTGGCCATGAGAACCCATCGAATAGAGCCTCGCTTGATTCCTCATGACAAGTCTTTAGTCTTACAGTCTGATGATTAAGTTAGTCAAGAATTGTATAAAAAATAATCATCTATAATAACTATATCAAATTTCAACTTTTTAACATTAGTTTGCTGCAATGTAAGTTCAGTCAATTGGGCAAGAATACTTAATATACGAGTATATAACGTTATATGTATATCCTGCATTTACAAGAATTTGTTATATTTTTTGTTTCTTTTATGCATCTTATGCATTTGATTTCAAAATATGCATAATATATGAATAATTATTTTTGCTTATGTCAATAAAATAGTAACAAAGACCTTATATGAGTTATTCTTGTTTATTTCATACATTCTTATTTGTATTATCCACTTAAATTTGGCATTATGATATTCAATTCCTCGGAAAATTAACTAATAATAATAATAATAATAATGCCTTTATCAGCTGCAGTGAGGTGAAGTTTAGCCAGATGGCTACTCTTACACTCAACCCTACAACAGAAAAAAAAGAATACTTAAACACATGAACAAAATAATAACATACAAAAAAAATACAGTTCATAAACATGACAACATTGACTGCATGAGACAAATGCAGATAGTGTGAGAGTTTTATATTTGAAACAAAAATAGTAGAAAATAGTAAGAAAAAGGCACATGAACACAAGAAAAACTGAACTAAATGGACTCCAGCAGCTGACTTTTCATTAATTTCTTAAAAGAAGCAACCTGTTTGGATCG